ATCTGTGAAGTTCACACATGGATTAAAATGCTAAATATGATGAGTTCATAACAAAATATGAACTAAGCATAAAAATTTGTTAAAATTAACTTAATAAAGATTTTAAAAAAAACCATAAACAACAGTAAATTACTGACATAACTCTGACCACTGATATATTGATAATGTTACTTCTCTTCCTCCTCTGCTGATTCAGTTTACACAGTATTTCTCCCAGTGCAGTGCTGCCCTCATGTGGACAAATGTATCTTTACACACGATGTTTCCCTCAATGAAACACTGCAGGAAGGAGAATTTCATTGAGACACATTTAAAGTCATTAAGAAAAAAACCGCATGATACAGTCAGATAAGGAAGCGATAAACATTTTAACAAAAAAGAGAACTAGCTGAAATAATATTTGTATAATATGCAACGCTGACAGTTCATCAGTGAGAAATAAATAAATATAATAGAAATAACATTAAAGTCAAAATCCTTCATCCTTCATATTAATATTCAACATATCCATTCACAGTAATGAACTGCAGAGTGAAGAGTGTTACAGCCACTGTGTGTTTCACTGTCCAAGGCTGAGCTCTATTGCTGTTGATAGGTGGCGGTGACGTCAGTGTGTGGGTGGCTGTGTGGGTGAAGATGATTCCCAAATGAGCCTGTGTGTAGCAAGAAAAATAATAAATAAGTCAAGAAGCAGAAGACGAGCTCTGACAAACTCCTCTGTGCTGGATTACCCTGAGCTCTGTGCGGCACATGAGGTCGAGGGGAAGAGCAAATAAAAAAGCAGCTCCCAGGACTCGTTGACCCTCCCAGCTCTGCCTGACAGCAGAAATAAAGGCGACTATTGACGAGCTGAATGGGAAATGATCTCTGAGAAGAGAAAAGGTGGTGGGGGTGGGCTGCGCTCAATGTGCTCTCAATGAAAAATCAGCAACTGGGATGTTTTAGTTGAATTTTATTCAGTTTATTGCACAAACAGCGTGGACAAAATGCACATGGATGTTACTACATTGTTAAGAGAAGTGGAAAATAACAAAATATAAAGGTACATCCATAACATTCAAAAGCTCTCACGTTTTTGACACAGGGGTTAAATTTCAAATAGTAGGTCCTAAGTAAGTTGTTTTGTTTGGGGGGGGAGTATTAAGAATAAAAAAGGATGTGGTGGTCCAAGGAAAGTGAAGCACACATCAGAAGGAAAAAAGCTAAACTTGGCTTCAAAACCAGTAGTTAAATGTCTGATATCAAATTGCAGTATGTTACAGTAACCGTTCCAAAAAACCTTTCACACAATACAGATAACAAAGAGGTGGTTAACAAGGTCCACCACCTTCTGGGCAACACGGATTATAATGGAGCAGAAACAAGTGCAGTGTCTTAAACTTAGCAAACATGAACGTCATTGACTTTAATAGAAAGTTTCAGCACATGTAACAGTAACAAATATCTACACTTGAGGGCTTTCAGAGGGGAAATCTTTGCATATTACTGTAGAGTTAAAAAAATCTGGGTTAGCATGAAGTGATCAAATATAGTCAAACAGATGTTTACAGTTGGTCTGCATGGTCTGACGTGTTGAGTCTTTGGTACAACGTGAGCACGGGGATACAGGAGGCCTTTAAACTGCAAACACGCTGTACCTCCCCCCCACGTCAAATTCTCACTAACAAACCATGCAAACAAAAATAAGTTTAGTACAAAAAAAAACTTAACACAAGGATTTTCTCTCTCATTAATCATATTGTACTTCTCAGGAGTGTTACATTTTGGTGGGCGGCTGAAGGTGTGGGCTTTTTATTTTGTCAGAAGAGGCACACACACACACACACACACACACACACAGTTGTCTTATGGCAATAGGTCAGTACAACAAAAGGCCTGAGGAAATGAAAGAGACAAACAGGAGACAGTGAAAACATCATGTCTGAGTCTGTCTTGCGTCACACAGGGACTCACTGTGCACGAGTACAGTGCACGAGAAGGGGAAGGCAGAGACAAGCTTTAGAAAGGCACAGAGCTTTAGAAAGCGCATTCGTCTAGAACTTACCACTAAAGAAGTGCCACACACACACACACACACACACACACACACACACACACACACNACACACACACACACACACACACACACACACACACACACACACACACACACACACACACACACACACACACACACACACACACACAAAGAGGAAAATAAAAACAAATTAAATGGTCAACTATATTGGCAAGGATATGGAGGAAAATGTTTAACAAAAACAAATATCAAGGTTTTGTTACAGGATGTCGTGATGCATCGAGTCCGTCGCTCTGACGAGCTGAGGACACGACACAACTGCAACATGAGCTTCAACATGAACGACGATGATTGTTACAGCATAATTAGTGCAATGTAAAGCCAAAGAAAAAGGTTTGGGTGAATCAATGAATGGCACTGTCAATTTTAAATTCACATTGTTTTTGATTAATCCAAAACACACATGATGCTTTTCTTTTAGAAAAAGGTGAGATACAGATGGACAGGAGCGGGGACTCAATAGAGGTTCCTGTTGCCAAATATGTTTTTGGGGTCCAGGTAATCCTTGACGGACTTGAGCATTCCGATGCCGACATTGGAGACGGTCTCTCTCATCCACTGCTTCCGAAGTTTCCCCACTGAATGACACACGGGAGAGAAATAAATAAATAAATAGATAGATATACTAAACTCAAGGAAAAAGACCGAAGGGGGAGAAATAGAGGAATCGGCACGGCTGATTGCTCAGCGGGCTGCTGGGAGCCAATCAATCTTGTGAGAGTGAGTGAATAAACAGAGGGTGATAAATGCTTTTATTCAGAGAGGAGAAATGTTTTGCATGGCATGATTTATGGAGCTCAGCAGACTATCAAACTCATTAGGCTCTGTGTGTTCCCAGAGGAGGAGGCCGGCTGGCGGTTGTAGTGGGCCCTATCCCCGACTCCCTCACTGTTTGAGCCAGCTCTCCCCTTCAGTTCCCTCCCTCCAGAGTCACCGGGGCCTTTTCTGTGCACGTTTTCTGTCTCATCGTGCACACGAGCACGCTCCTCCAGCTGACCTGTGAGGGTGGTGGCGCTCGCTTGTCTTGAACGACGCTCTGCGTCCTCCGACACTGGCCCGATCGCCCACAGGGTGCCAAAGCCAACCGTGGAGCGCCCACACAATGGTCCTCTGTCAGCAGGACTTTGGCTCTCAGCTGCTCCGCTCCCTCCCTCCCACCAAACCCTCCCAACCTGAGGAGCGAGCGTGGCATGAAGCCTAGTGAGGGTGCCCATAGCTTCGCCAGCTGTCCAGTCCGACATACTCCAAAGCGCCTGCACCCGACAGGTTCTTTGCGGAGAGTCTGGAGCCAGCGAGAGGTCTGGTGAGAGCGGAGGACTGGGGGACGTCACTGGAGCCAAACTCTTGTCGGGAAAACTTCAAGCGAAATAGAAACTTTGGAGGAAACTTTGCAGCAGAGGAAATTGACTCACAGCTGTTGGTTTTTAAATGTACATTTCTTAAAGGGTTGTACATATTTGCTGGCATTTTCTTACATTTTAAAGTCGAGACAGAAACACAAAATGTGGGCGGAGAATAAGAATCCCAAGTAGCAAGGCTGGATTAACAACTGGGCAAAACCAACAAGTACCAACCAACACAAGGGACCCAAGAAGATTTAAAAAATAAATTAAGTTGAATTTTTTTAAGGAATCTGAACTACTGAGGAATAATATCTTCTATGGCTCATGCATATTTTATGACCCAGAGCTCACATTATTATAATGTCTCAGAGAAAATCTGTTTAAAAACAATAAACAATTATCAGACGGTTTAATGTGGTTGAATAAGGCAAAGGGTATTTATCTGAGGACTTAACGTTGGTTAGATTAAGAAAGAAACAAACCTGAGTAATGAAATATATAATAACTAAAAGTCTGAAGTAACTTTACCATTTATCTTACGTCCAAAAGATACATTTGAGAACAGATCAGCCCGGAGCAGCTGCTGCTCGCTGGGTAAACACATACAACCAGCAGCGTAATCACATGAGATTAGATACAGAGACCTGAGAATATAGGCAGGCGTGTGATGCAAGTGTTCACATGGCGGGGAGCCCCTGTGTTAGTAGGGCACGTGAGGGAGGTGGCCACCCTGACACGTCAGAGCGCCCTGTTATCAGAGCAAAGCCAGGAAACCCAGATGGGAATCGGCCATGAGGCTAGTGAGGCCCGTCTCCTGACAAAACAGGGCAGACAGCGGGGTCACCAGAGACTCATACCACACAAACCTCCAGATGGTGACAGAGGGACCAATCAGCTGCTGCCCAATAACTAAAAGAAGTCGCCTGCCCCCTTCCACCTCCTCCTCCTTAGTCCTTCCCCCTTGTTCCACCTCCATCCCTCCCTCCTCCGAGGAGGGAAAACAGAAGGTGCTGGGACTGCATCATTGCCTCCATCACTGTGATAATTTACACATCTATCTTGTCAGAGTCTCTCTTTTTTGCTTGCTATTGCAATCAATCTCACCGTGCTCAGTCTGTGCAGCTGAGACATGCAAAGAAGTGCAGGTAGTTATTTTAAATGACAGTATTCTTTTTAAGGTGGCATATTTCTCTCGTGTGGGAAAGTACAGGGCGGATGGCACGAGGGGAATTTCACCAAATCAGGTCAGATTTTCTGTCTCCTGAGAGCAGTGACCTCTGCGGGGATACGGACTTAGAGAGATTGGGGCTCTGTGGAGCCACGAGGTGGGGCGACAATGCCGGGCACCCAGGGGTGGCCCCAATACAGAGGAGACATTGTAGAGGCTGAGGATGAGTTTCACCCCGGTGACACGCTGTTCTCAACCTCAGCAGCTTTCCCTGACAAATGGAGGTCGGGACATGAAAGACGGGGTAAGGTAGCGGCCCTGCGCTCCTGCGATATGGCCGAGGCAGCGTATTGGCTGAGGAGGTGCAGGGCTGATAGATGGATGACTCTCCCGGTGATGGATGTTCCAACAACTCTTCACTGCTGCGACATTGGTGACCTAGTTAAAGAGAACATTTCTCCCAGGATTCTGGTTTTCTGAACCAAAGAATATTAGAACGTGCAACACGAGTTTTGTTTGAGAGTAAGTGTGAGAAATCTCACTCGCTCCGAAGATGCGCTCACCATGATTTTTGCGATGGTGAAGCAGTCACATGGTGAGGTGAGCTGAGTATTATGTCCTGCAGAGAAACAGCTCCACACACCCAGATTCTCTCACCTACGCCGACGCAGCACAGTGCTGACCTGCTGTAAACACAGGGCCGCAGAAATGTATATTTCCTCTGGTGGCCTCCCACCTCACCATCCCTGACTACATCTGTTTTGTTTGATACACAAAAACAGTGAAACTAGCTCCATTTGTCAAGCGCTGATTGTGGGCAGACAAACCGGCCTGTCTGCGCCCAGATAGCGAGCCCCACTGTTATTAATCACAATTACAGAGTGGGCCCCGCACACGGGAGCTGCATCAATATCCCCTCCTCTCCCCCCTGTCACCTCCCCGCGCTGCTCGGGGTGGCCGGGCCACCGTTTGGAGGTCAGTATACAGCCGGTGATAACGGCTGCATCATTTACCCCGACCCGCCGCCTCCTTTTTATTAGCAATCTTTTAATTTTGAACCTGTCCCCGCCTTCAGGAAAAATTGTGATTTAATATCACAGCTGATTCACTGCATACTGTTTTTGACAGGTTTGATGAATAGCCTGAAGTGATGTATGAAAACAGCGAGGCGGATGGCAATATAGATAAGGCAGCCATTTCGGTTAGCCCTGATGGGGCCCGGAGAGTTGTTCCATCCCCCCCTCCTCCGCTCCCCTGCTCACGTTTCATTTGGTCACTGGTGAAATGAACAAATAGCAGAGTCAGAGCCGTTCATCCACACTGCAGGAACATATTTGGTACAGCCAATGAAAGCTGTTTGACCAAATGCACACATGCAGCACGACTGGCCTCTTGTTCACTAGCATGGAAGAGCACGCTGGGATCGCTCGCGGTGCTGTCGCTGCCACTCACAACAACCGCTTTTCATACATTTAAATTTAGGGGAAGGTGCAAATATAAATGCTCCTGTTACAGCTGTCACGGTGCTACACGTGAATAATGTGTAAGAACAGAATTGATGGTTTTAACATGAGACTCTTAGGTTTTCGTACCTCCATGGTGATGTGACAAACTTCCTCCATTGGCAAGGATTTCTTCTCTAGCTGCATGCTGGGAAATAAAAACAAAATAAAACCACACTCATTTCTGTCCTTTTACAGAATATAATAATCTGACATTTCACTCTGTTACCATCATCACATCAGATGTAATTATTTTCTATGAAAAGACTGAGCGGTGGTATCATGTTCATAAAAAAACAAATGGACTTACCTCCACTTGTTCGAATACATGTACTGGATCACTGAGTCCTCTGTAGTTGAAGGCAAAGTAAAAGTAGATACAGGCACCAGCGTCGTATGTCTGAGTCACCCTGTAAGAAACGTTTAAACAAAGACATGTTTTCCAGACAGCGGAGGACGTGTGGAGGCACTGTCACCTTTAATAACATAACATTATCAGGCATTAAATTCTTTTATCAATTCAATAAAAGGATAAAACCTTGTCGGAGGGCAATTCTAAGGCACATAGAGAATGTCTAGACAACATGTAACAATGAGAAAGAAAACAATCGCTGCAGTATACTAAAATTATAAAGTAAAAGAAGTCTGTATAACAAAGTAAAAGGATGGTGAACGGGTTAACAGCTGTGAAAACTGAGTTATAAGAACGTAGATAAATACTCAATGAATAAAAGTGAATGATAAATATTTGTACTGCAAGTAACAGGATGAGTGAACTTTAACTCTCAGAAGATTAGTTTGTTGTTTTCCAAAGACCAAAACGTTTTACTTCATGTGGCTGCCTCTAAATAAGAATGCGGCCTGAACGTGTGTAATGATCTTTTTGTTGAGTATAAAATGCTTCTTCAGTTTGCATGTCTCCTCTATGGCCTTGTTCCCCGTGGAGGAGCAGGGTGCAGAGCCCTTGTTCATTTGACATGGCCCATCACCTGGCACACTGACTGTTCTAGAGGTTAAATGGACAAATCAATCATGTGACAGACCGCAGCCGAGAAATGAATGGCTGTAGCATAATCAGGCTGAGGCCTAATCGGTCCTCAATCGGCGAGCGGCAGCCTGCTGCTCCTCCACCGGCTCGCCGTCTGTCTGTCTGTCTGTCCGCGCGACTCTTGCTAACTCACTGGGGGTCTGGGGGAAGGCTTGGGTATGCAACCTCAATATTGAAAGTTAGCAATGGATGGTCAGATTCATTAGACCTTTCATATCCTGAATTGCAGTAGATATTTTCAACCTCAAGTTTCCTGCAGATCAAAGCCTTGCTCTTCCTCAGACCTCCATCATGTCCAAGAACCATTAAAAAGACCAGTGAGCCACACTGTTACAAGATGAAATGCTCCTTCACTACAAAGAATTTGGGTCCCATAGTTTATTAGGAATCAAGTCAACATGCACCTACATGCTGCTATAAATACATGCTAGCACTCCAGGTTAGCATTTATGTGAAAGCAGCCCCCAACAAAACCAATATTTATTGTTTAAGTTTTCTAAAAAACTACAACTCCCTGTTAGCTAAAGAAGTCGCTATGTGTCTTTTAAAAGTAAAAGTTCATATCTTTGGTTTGGATGAACAGGCATCCAGCTGAGTGGAAGCCTTGAGAGCATTTGAGGATGTTTTTGAGGTTCGCAGATAAAAACATTATAATAAAACAACTGATAAATTGATAAAAAACAAAAATTAATTGACTATTCTTGGGGTTCGGACAGTTGGCTGGACAAAATGAGCAAGTCAAGACATAATTTCCACAATTTTCTGACAATTAAATATAAATTGATTTATTGGTGATAATTAATCAGTAGATTAATTCATAATAAAATAAATCACAATTCGCAGCCCAGTTAAGTAAAATGTGTTGTGTTGGTCTTTGTATGGAAAATGAGGTATTATCTGTACTAGTAGATGTGTTGGAGACCTATTGAACATTGTGAAGTTCTGTTTAAACTGTTATTCTTTAACTGTACCTGCATGTGGATAATGGTGAAAACTGCACTCCTTTCTCTTTACACTCTTGAACAACGCGTGCCTTTACATTCCGGCAAACGTCCAACACCCTGCAAATAAAGGACAGTAAATGGCAGATTGAAAAGTCACGTCTGAATAAGAAAAAACAGAAGCAGAATGAGACTTTGTCATGTCGCAACTCCAAACTGTGATATTTGTCTATTAATAACACAATATAAATCTATTAGTACTGCAAAAGTATTACTTAGAAAAGGGCCAGTAAAGAGGAGTGAGTGACTAACGTGGTGACCATTGTGGTGTGGAAATGGCCGCCGGTCCTAAGTATGTGCAGCCGTGTGTGGAATGTGGAGGATGGGGAAGGAGGGTGGGTAATGAGCCAGGCACATATGCTCGCTTCAGTGCCTGATCTCCTGGTCCCTGCCGTCAGGCATGTTACACGACACGGAGCTCTGTGTGTGCTCTCGTTTGTTGTGTGTGTGTAAAGAAAAAACGATGAAAACATGCAGAACAGACCACATGTGAATGTGAGATGACTCTGGCGCCAACATTTCCTCACACTGAACACACACAGATCTCTCCTCTGCAAGTGTGAGTGCATGTGAGTGCATGTGAGTGTGTATCTATAATGGCGGGTTTATAGGCTGAGGAAGCAAAGCTTCCGCCAACACAGAGCTGGTTAATAGGGGGAGAAAAGGCATGAAGGTGAACGTCAAAGACAGAGGCAATGAGAGATAGAGGAAAGGAGGGAAAAGCATGAGTTATTACAGCACAGTCTCAGGACTTAATGTGTGGGAGGTGACTAAAGAACATTTTTAATATCAATTGAAATTTTAAAAATGTAATCAATGTGTTTACCTGTCCCAAGGCACAGAGGTTTCAAAGGACTCCGCAATCACATAGTAGTCCATCCCCAAGTCCTGTGGGCAATACAATATTAGCATTATAATGATGATAAGCAAATGGTCAATCAGTTATGTTTACCTGCACATACAAAGTCAGTATACTGGGGTTGTATAGGCAACTGGATAACACATCTACATGCATTGTAACAACCATGTCACTATAAAATCCAGGTGCTGAATAATCCCAAACCTTATTTTGGAAATGAGACTTATTGATTTCAACAGCATCATTGACAGAAAACTGTTTGCTTGGTTGTAGCAGTAGAAAGAGGTTAAAGAGATTCTTTTATTTATGATGTTTTACAGTATGTAATGATCATATGTTTGATTCTGCTGCTGTCACTGTGATAGTTCTCCCTTCTGAAGACAGCTTTTTTCTGGACAAGTCCACCTGGAGAAAGACTCTCCACTGATATCATAAAAGCTTTTAGTATGAATGGTGTCTCAACAATCACATCACAGAGCTTTAAGAAAGTTATACATGTCTGTGGTTATTCGACAGGCCTCTGACAGAAGTGACCCAAGAGAGCTCTCCATTGTCATCATGGCTGCAGCCACTATTCTGTCCTCATGATGCAGACACCTCGGTGTTAGACTCCCTGACAACCACTGTGACCAGATCAAATCAAAGATCTCCCGAGGTCACATTCTGCTGCTTCTCTGTGTTGCTTGCTATCCTATCTGCTGTCAGACTGAGTCACCCCGCCCACCCCACCTGCCCATCAGCTCGGGCTGAAAAAAACCACAGAGGAGTGACCCACCCGGAGGTAAGCGATGACGAAGGTCAGCATGTAACCCCTTTGACCATTGTCCTCTCCAGCTGCCAGGCCCCTAGAAGCAGATAACAGGGTTAATATTTAACAGCTCTTTTCTCTTTGCTTTGTTGGTCCGACTGCTCCCTCTCACAACAGCTGCCTGGGAGCCTGTCACTCCGACATTGTACAGATCAATGAAGCTATGCTCCATGCATCGCCACAGGTCAGCCACACATCCATCACCTGCAGTGGGTAATCAGATTTTCATCTACCACCCAAACTAATCAGGCCAAGCTCATTAGAAAATCACTATATTGATTTTTGTTCTTCTTCCTGTTTCCAAACACTAGAAGAAAAAATTCCGTACAGAACCACACTAATCCATCACTGGCACTTGATCTGATAGGTGATCACGATTTATTTGAAATAATGCAATAAAGCAGAGGCTGCTGCATGTAACTGACAAGTTTCTTATGATTTAATAACTAGACCATTGCCAGGGCAGTGCTCCAGCTACCTGCAAATCTGGGTGCGGAGCCAAACAATGAGGCTAACAACAGTAATACATAATCAGTCAGAATCACCCAGGAAGAAATCAGTGACATCGTCCAGTGAGGAGAACTGAGGATCCCTGATTAAAGTGAGGCTGTAACAAACTGCTGATTTCTGACGGATTAGGGTCACATTCAACATCGTTATAGATAAAACTAATGAAGTGTTCACATTTGAAACAATGAAATATAAAAATTGTTATGTTTTTCTCTAAAATGTTTGAAATAATGTTATTTGGTTGATGCTCTGACAACATCCTTGTTTGTCCAGGGAGAGAGATCCCTCCCTTGTTTCTAGTTTCTGCAGTTATCCTCCTGTTAAAAGGCTTTTAGTACGTTATTCCTCAAGGGTGAAAGGCAGACGATGTTGCACCTCTTACAGATTGTCAAGCCCTATGAGGAATATTGTGATTTGTATGGGCTTCACAAATAAAATCTGACTGATCGATTTGTATCCATACTTCTGTTAAAGCAAACTTTTGATTTATTTGTTTTTTTAAATTGTTTCTGACTTTCAAGAGATAAAATTGTGATTTTCATGTAGATTTTTTTTTATCACCAGGAACAACAATTGCCTAATTTCTTTTTTTGAGAAGGAGCTGCCCAAACAGTTTTGAGCAAAGACCTGTAAAGTTAAGAAAATCTTCTGGTGTAATAAAACAATGAAAAGAGAAAACTGGAAAATGCAAATCAGCACAAAGGAAACAAGAAATACTTGAACAATAGAGAGGTTACAATGCAAATGACGACTTCAAAATCTGATTCTCATAGAAAGAGAGAAAACAGCAGAAGCATAAAGGAAAGAGAACAACAAACATTCACACTCTTAATAGACAGCTATCTAGAAATAACTTTAATTTGTCAAAGGTAAAATAAAAAACACTTTTCAAACAGTTCACTGCCACAACGTGTTGAATTATGAATCCACAGCCATAACAATACATAATTATCGATCATTATATTCAGTTGAATGGCACAAAGGTTAACGGATGTTTGGATGAACCCATCTGTGATGTTCTGTTAAGGGTTTTTAAAACACGCTCAGGATTGAGAGAACAGTCCTCTCAGACTGACAGGTAACTGATCTCCACCAAAAAGTCCTCATTGATCCATTTCATGATCAATGACAACAGCGAAGGAAGCACTTCCAGGCTGTGTCCTCTCACCCTGCGCTGCCTGAGGGGACTTGTGTCCCACTATCACCGCCCACACCACACCTACTTTAACATAAAAGCTGACACGAGGACGTCCACAGGCGATCCATCAATCCACACAGAGACAAACTACTGAGTGGAAGACCAAGTCTGAAGTGTGTAACTGTGCTTCTCCATCCTTTTTCACTTTAATGGCTGGTTAAATAAAGTGACGTGGACGCCTTAGGCAGCTCCCAATCATGTTCAAAATCCCACCCAACTGTGCTTTTTCATTTCTGTTCTCGTACACGGGCGTGATCTTTGAGCAATGCATCGTTTTAAAAACAGGGAGGAGGCGAGAGAACTACTCACCCAAATTTTGCAGCAATGTCATAAACTTGCTTCTCATGCTGCAGGACCTTCTCACGGTCTCCCTCAAACAGCAGGGTGGCCACACACAAGCGGTTGGGGTCGAACCCTTTGAACTAGTGATTAAAGAGTTGGATATATTTTTCATGAAAAACACCTGCAGCAAGCGAAGGGTGTGATGTTCACTTCTAATTATTTCTTCTTTTTTTTTTTTTTTTTTTACCTTGGTGATGTAAAATTTCTTCAAGCCGTCCAAAAAAGATGTGAAAATGGAAGACACTTGAGGCTTCAGGGCGTGACCTGAGAAAATATCAGATAAAAGTCAGCTCTGTTTACTCACCAACAAGTGAGCTCAAAAAACACCGAATATTTTTCACACATTAGTCATACCCTGCTCCTGCCTGCTTCCCTCAGTGTTCTGAGGAGGGCAAGTCAGTCAGATTTATTTGGGGGTTTCAAACAAAAGGAGGAAAAACAAATGGTAACATTTGAATAACTTAACAACTGGCCAGTGGCTGCCAGCGACAGCGACTATAAATCAGAAGGTTTCCGAAGGGAAGTGGGGTTGACACTGTGATATCCGTCTTCCTCACCCACACTTTTTGATTTATTCCTGATCGGACGCACAAAAGCGCCTGTGGACAAGCGAAAATGAGGGGCTGGGGCCAATGGGATGGTTATCAATCACAGCGGGAAAGTCACGGGTGATGTCGCCGAGACTTAACAGTTCATTTATTTCCCTCCATGCTCAAGTCTCTTCATCACTTAGTGTCCTAATTGTTTCCATTCCAAAATTTGATTGCAGGTCTTTAGGTCTCTCACAGCCATCATACTCGTTAATTAAATACTGAACATCCAGAGAGAGAAAATTACACCTACACTGTGCATAATTTTCACTTTTAACTCTCCCCTCAGTGGTTTGGTTAGTTTTTCTTTTTTTTTTTGCATATAAACACACCCTGCTACTTACTACAACGTTCTCATTTTTCATCTTGTGTATCAAGACAGGCAGTGCTAAATTGTACTTGTATTCCCAATCTGAAAAAGACCTGTGAATACATCAACTCTCCTTACTCAACAGCCAACATGATTAAAAGAGAGGACAAGCCACTAATAAGCCCAAGAAGGTATCACAGAGCCATGAGTTTTAGTTATTAGTGAAAAACCTGGTCGCTTCATCTTCCCTACTTAATGCTAAGAAGTGCCTACTCTGTGAAAAGTGGAAATATAGTGGAGATAATGAGATCCCTGGAGACTGGGGAACTTTACAGAGATTTCTGGTTATGCCAGATGCATCCCACTAGACCTTAAGAAACAACATTATAAAACTTCAATAGAACAACTACTTAATTTTGGCTAGGGTCATTTTTTTATCTCATTTCAATTCGTTATGTGCATGTATATGTGTGTGTGTGCAGCTATTTCATTTCAGAGACAATAATCAATTGATCTATTCAGATCTGTAGAATGTAAAATCAATGCATTCTGTACCATTGTCATTCATTGTTCTCCTGAGGTACACAGTACATCAATGTTACACCAACACAAACATTGGAAAGTAATATATAAAATATGTGAAACAAAATGTAACTCTAAATAAACTTGATCATTTCTTTGCTCTTGGTTAAAAGCCTGTCATGTGCCACAAGTTGCAAAGCTTTCAGATTAAAGCCAGGGGTTGTGTTGGGGCTGAAAAGAAAACCAGGTCTAATAGGAAGCTCACTCATGTAGTGAAGAGTTACCACAAAACACTCAGGCCTTAAATGAGAGTTATGTTTGCACACAAGATGTAATGACAGCAGTAATATGGATATAACCTGAACAATCTAATGAAACTTACCAAACTTAAATTGTTCATTATCCATGAGTCGTATAGATGCTGGAGCACACCTCTGGAAAAAAAAAAATAAAAGAGTCTATATTGGCTTTTCAGAATCATAGTGGTAAATACTGAACCAACAAATTAAGCAATAAAAGATAGATTTGAAAGGTTGTTAATACAAAGACAACATGTTCTGAAGTGTCTCCCTAGTGAATGTTGTGGTTTTAAACTCTTCGTGAGCTGAGAAGCAAAACATTTTATAGATACATTTTTGTGTTTTGCCTCCTCCTCACTGTGAAAGCAGGAACAAACCACAACATGTTAGAGGATAGATGAACACATTACCTGTCTGGCGATCTCTCGGAGACAGGCAACCCCCTGCTCAAAATTTGGGAAAACAACAGAGCCATATTTCTGATACTCTGGCATGGGACGAATCTTCATCGTTACCTCAGTGACCACACCCAGGGTTCCTGTGGAAAATCACAGTGAGAGATTTTAAGTAGAAAGAAGTAAATCAGTTCCCATAATTTACATGGCCTAACCCCCCCTTAGCGGAACTTAAGGCTGTTTTACAGGGCTCTCGTACCGTCCCAAGGGTTTTTTTGGGGGTGACCTTTGTCTCACATTTCACCAAGCAGATCTGGTTTTCTACCACACACTGGGGAACAACTAAGATTTATCAGCTTTAAGAGCACGAGGAAATAAAGCAGTGCTCTATCAAAGGCAGCGAGAGCCAACAGCAGCAGCACACATACATGTACAAGGAAACCCTGGCTGACCTTAAGACCCGCAAAACTGTTGGTCGTTAGCTGCTGCTGCGGAAGGAGTCATATTGAGCACCCGAAACAGCTCCCCACTCACACTGCAAATGTGTCTGAGATTCATTCTTTTTATACAAGTTTCCAAGATGAGAGTAAACTGTAGCTAGGGAGCGGTATTTGCCATCCCATAAGCCTGCAACATTAATACTATCTATTATAAACCCCCAAAATATAGAGGCTGTGTCGAAAAAATGTTCCCAGCACCCACGGTTTCATAAACTGGAGACTAATACAAGATCGTTCATTTGAACATTTGCATAATAAACACATGCAAAAGCACCACGAGAAGTGTATGAAAATTACACTGAATGCACTCTCTGATGCAATCTCTGCAAAAGTGGACATAAACGCCACGCAGAAAATAGGCACGCACCGAGAGCAAGGTTAAAAAAACAAAATTCACAACCCAGTTTGTATCGCAATAAATCTCAACAACAAGAACTCTAGTCAGAGTTTTATCTTAATGAGAGAACACCAAATAGAGACAATATGTCATAACATCCAACCAAACTACAATAATGAACTACTTTCATTAAAAATGACAAATGTCTCAGTAAACACACTGTGAATCACCATCACTGACAACAACAGAGAACAAGGGAACATCAAGTCAGCCGACAGAACCTCAGAGATTTTAAAGAGATGATAAGTTTAAGCATATGTCATCTATAATTCTTTACTGCGTATCCTGCCACCAGCAGCTCAGTAGCAATATCAGTGACTAGTAGCAACTGCTAATGGCAACTTCCATAACAGTAAAACTGACACTGTCTCTGCTGTGTTTGTGAGACCACATAAATGTTCCCACAAAAATGCACTTTCTGAATCAGCACCTGAGGGAAATCCATTTATTTAACTAGCTTTACTAGCGTAGTGAATTAAGTTATTTGATGATTAAAAACACATTATTATAGACATTAAAATCACAGAAGATAAAAACGCCTGAAGGTTTATTTTCATTGTGGTCGTTAACATTTTTTAAAGTTTAAATTGTTGCTAAACAAGGTTGTCATAATAGTATCCACCTGAGAATATGTGTCCCACTACGAGGGACTACCTATGAATACATATTTTACTCTTTTCTATTCTTCAGTTGCTGATTTATGACTATGCTGTTCTTCTTTTGGAGATGTGCCTTAATGATTTTTATTGCATTGATGAAACTGTTTCTTTCCAGCATGAGGAACAATACAACTAATCAGACAACTTTGAATCAGTTTTCAATTTACTGGACAAAATAACAGTCACAATACCAACGCTCACGTTTTTTAACTTGCATAAATACAAATTCTATGATGTGTTAACACTGCAGTCATTTCAAGTAGTGCTGGAACAATTTCTCGACTGATAGAAGAGAAATGTTTTGATAATTTCAAATTAGCTTTTTTCAGTTTTGTATTATTATAAATTTAATATATTTGGGTTTTGGACTGGTGCAACTTGTGATGGGGATTTAGGACATTTAGTTGGCTCAGGGATTAATCAATTAAGATATTAAATCAACAAACAAAATACATCACAGTGAATTTTATCGATGTAAACCAAATTACATTTTCCCTCAGCCTGAATGTTTTGTTTATTACAGACATCGTCCATCTATAGATGTATGTCCCCTGAACAGAGCTGTCCCACTGAGGCTTCCTCAGCCTGTGTAATGTAACACTACATGCCACATGCTGCTCCCTAGTGGTCCACTTGAAAACATGTGACTTTATTAGGTTTAAGCAGAAAAAAAAGGCTCCTCCCTCCTGATAATGGCGAGGAGGAGTCAGAGAGGGAGAGGGAGAGAGGGAGAGAGAGAGAGAGAGAGAGAGAGAGAGAGAGAGAGAGAGAGAGAGAGAGAGGTTAGTGCAAAGGGGTGGAGGTAAAGGGAGGTAAAAAGAACAGCAAGGTCAGAAAAACACTGTCCCTTGGGTGAATGAAATGCAAAGAAATGCTGCAGTGCAACTCAAGCATCTTTATCCATGACTGAAGGTATTGAACCAAACTCATCTACAGGATTAGTATATGTGGAAAAAATCTATTCAGTACATCTGGTGTTTTTAAAATAAGAAACTTGAGATAAAAAAAGATTTGAGGGCTACTTTGACCAATGAGAAACCACCAATTTACAATCAAAAATGGACAAGACATGAATTGTCTTCACATGCAAACATTTCTTCCTCCACATTTGTATAAAGGACAAAAGGATTATCATTGATTATTCTAATCATCCATTACACTGGGTGTAGCGAGGGAGAAGAAAATACTTTGCATTCTGGCTACTTTGAGGTCAGAGAGATAGAGAGACCCTGTTGTTGTGTGGTGAATTAAAAACTGGAGGTTTCACAGTCATTTCTAACAAAATGGATGTGTTCCACTTAATATGCAGAGCATATATGAGGGTTTTAGAGTGCTGCTAAGTTGTTGTTGTTGTGGCCTACTGTCAGACTGCAGGATGGGATTTCTGGGGTGAGGAGATAGATAATTTTAATGAAGCTGAGCGTTGGTATGACCTCTCAGCTCCAGTGTTCAGCCTCCCAGAAGAACATGCCCTCCCACAGCTGTGTGGCCCTGTCCCATCTCTACATATGCACCAATCCCAGCAGCAAAATCACCATCAAATGTTTTATTATACATGCTCTTATGCTAAGCAATATTTATATATCATTGTTACTATTATTATAAGTTATAATTAATAAACTATAAATTTTAAAAGATTCAGCTTGCTTTCCTGGACTACAATTACACACTCACAGTGCTGAATGTAAAGCTCAGCTTTTAGAGACATGGTAAATATTTGACATAGTTTAAACACTTGAGAATGTGACACTGGACTCACCCATTCATAACACTCTTCATATTTTAGGATTTTTTATAAGGACGCAGATGAGGAGCCTGATTTACAGTCCTGTGTTCACTGCTGTCACTGTCCTTTAAATCTTCATTTCAGAGAAGTAAAAACTGCTTAAAAGATATATAACCAGATGGAAATATTTCAGGCATAAACTAATTCTATTTATAAGCTTATATAGTTTGTGCTGACTGAATCAAAATGAAAAATAAATGTGGCTGACTAACATAAAATAACCTAAACATGACAAAGGTCAGCCACAATGAGATGTCTGACTAAGATCAGTTTACACAGGTCTAGGTCAGAGAGTGGCTCATACTGTATAACTCAGAGTTAACCAGAAGAGTCTTGAGCAATTTTTAAAAATGTTGCTTTTCTGAAAAAGAATTGAAAAAGAATTACTGGTAATTTAGTGATACATAACATTCTTTAAAACACATTTGATTTTGATCTTACACTGGGGTTCTGATGGTACTGAAATCATTTCTAATGAGTACAAATGGAGACTTCTGCTGTGATCCAAGCCCAGTCAGGGAGCAGATTGCTGAGCTTTGTAGGGCGAATATAAAGTTTGTATCCACAGCTGTTTAACATAACGATGCCAAGAGTCTCTGAACCTCCTCATTATGTAGGGGGGAACCTGGCATATGGCAGTATTCTCTGTGGGCGTTCACAAGGACAGGGCACCGCAGATGGGCTGGCGAGGACATGGGCTGGTTCCTAACTAACACCCCTCAGGATCACGTCTTCACGAAAGCTGGTTAATATGTAAGAATCCCCGTAGCATGAGAACCGTCCTGATGTTACTGTTTTATCGCAAAGACTTTACAGACCTGCGTTAACACACAACCTCAAACACGTGCTCTGGTGTACTGAAATCACATGAGAGAGGTGGCAAACCTTCTGAGCCCAGGATGAAGTGGTGAATATCTGGGCCTGTGGACATGCGTGGGCCCTGACAACTCTTTTCAATTACACCTTGAGGGGTCACCATCTTTATGTGGACGACCTATTCAGGCAGAGAAACAGCAAGAAACATTTTTTTACCAAATATTCAAGAGAAGCATAAATTTCTTTCAGTTCTACAAATGTTAAAAACTGAATCTTGATATTGTAATGAGTGCCACATGTTTCAACATATTTAATCACTGATACTGTGACCATTGCATTTAGAAGTGAGGGTAAAGTCCAAAACACTTTTGCTCATAATTTTCTTCCTAATTGTGGTTCAGTAACGGCTGTGCCCTGACTGTTCTCTGGAACATGAGCAGGAAGGTTAAGGTGAGTGTGGGACATTTACCAGGTCCTCGATGTTGCCGTAGATGTTCTTCTTCATGCCTGACGCTCTGGTTGCGACCCAACCCCCCAAGGAGCTGAACTCCATGGAGTCAGGCTCGTGCCCTGTACAATAGCCACTCTCATTAAGCTGTGAAAAGAAAGGAAAAAAAAAGTGCTTTTGTAGTTGCAATAAACACGAGCCCTAAATGTTTGGAAAACAATCTCATTGTAAACCCACAAGAATGTTTTAATAACAACTGAAAAGAAAGAGCAAGCAAGAGTGAAAAATGTAATTGCTGCTCTGCTGCTGAATTTCACTGCTCTTGTTATGCTGCAATGCTAAACCCCAGATTTTATGGCAGTGAAGATTTTAACAAAAGCCTAAAATAAACGGAGCGGAAAGACAGAGCATGAAAAGGCTATGAAGAGAGATCAGTGCGTTTTTGAGCTGTGTCAAATTCCACTGCTTGACTGGAGCGCTGATGTCATATGAAAAATGATGGCTGCACACTTCCAGGGGACACGTTTCAGCCTTTTTTATTCATTCAAATAAAATGACGATTATTCCTCAGGGGTCATTCAGAACCCAGCACGTTCTCCTCAGGGCAGTCCAGCCCCCAGAGGATTGCTCTGGCAGACAGAAACATTCAATAGTCATAATAATAATAATAAGGATCTTAAAGTACAACAACCCCCACCAGAAGCACAATATGGGGGTGAAATCAGGCCCTGTTTTATCACAGCACTCCCCTAGAAGGCAGTTTATAATGCAGACCCATCTGCTCCATCAAAACGGCCTGGTCTAAATGCAGAGGTGGAGTCTGCTTTAGATGCAGCTCACGCATTCCTCTACATCAAACGCCCGCTCCTTCTCCATTTTTCTGAATTAGCTTGATGGTGCCATCTGCTCATGACCACAGCCTCACTCTCTAATCTCTCCCCTTCAGCACTCTGCTCCCGTCTCAAACTCCTGCCTAAGCCCTTTTCCATCCTCTGAGCAAAGAGTACCAAGGTGACTGAGCACGGACCACCTGCATGTGAATGGTCACACAGCTCGACTGTTGACACATTCTACAGTAATGCAAGCTCTTTCGGGTGATGAACATGAATATATATGAGCAGTACTTACTAGTCTCTCCAGATCCTGACCGACGATGCCAGCTTCCACATGGGCAGTTAAATTCTTCTCATCAATCCACAGAATGCGGTTCTGCCATTAAAAATAAAACATGACTGAATACACAAACATTCTGTCATTGACATTTCAGATTTACAATATAAGAAAAACACAATGTAATGTTGTTTGTATCATTTGCCAACATGAAAATCACACCATTCATTTGATGTAGGTTACAGGATTTTGAAACAAATTGTTGTTTATCACCATGTCTGTTATGTTGACTTAAAATATCTCAGATCAACACTGCGCTTAACAGCAGTCCACGCAGAAATTCCCTTGGCAGTGTGCTCACAATACTGAAAGTTTCGCAGCAGTTTGTCCTTCCAGTCTGACGGTCACATGTCTTCAGGATAAATGTGTGCAGAGGGGCTAGGGGACAGAGGAAAGGGTCGGATTCCTCAAGGTTAAACTCAATTTAACATCTAATTCTATATATGCCACTTATTTGGGCCGTTGGGCACTTGGCCTACCCCTACCTGCAGGAGGCCATTTCACACCTGCCATCAATTATTCTCCAGAGGTAATAAACTTTATGTTCCTACCATACTGCTCCTTTCATGTGCTTCCACTGGAGCCACCTCACCTCTGACCCCTGACACAGAACACTGGTCACTGGTGTCTGTGGCTCCAAACTCTATGACTGGTGAGCTCGCGGCATCCGGACAGCTTATATATCACCTCTGTGTGCGCCTGGATCAAAGGGCCGTACTGTACTGGTGACAATATTCACCATTTTATGTTATAACCAATGAAACGTTATCATGTTCACTCTGAGGGCAGTGGGATCCCCGTAAGATTAATGGCTGATGCCGAAGAATCATAAATATGCCTCAACTGCACATTAAATATACGCTCGAGACATTTTTTGCTTTCAAAATTAGTAATGCATCACTGATATATATTTAAAGATATTCAGAAATGCATGCTCAAATATGCATGTTTTTTTTCATGAGTCTTTCTTCAGACCATTATAAAACAGCGGCACCAGAACAGTTAAATACAAGTTACAACATGACCCATTCACTTACCTGCTTTGAAAAACAATTTAATTCCAGTTAAGATGGTGACATGTTGAATTTTGAGGCCACTTTGTGATAGTGTTATGTAACATTTCATTATATCAATGGCATATGATTTTAATGTCTGTCGCTCTTCATTTACATACATGGGAGACTGAAAATGTATCATCTTTCATTTAATGTAAGCCGGTACAACGAGTTGTAGTAGTTTTTCTTAAAACGTATATCAGATTGCATTTGATTTTTCTGGTTTTCTCGTCATTAGTGCAGATCAACACTTGTGACATATAGCAGAGCGTTTACGTACCATCTGTGAGGTATCCAGAGAAACAATGGAGCGAGTTTCCTCAGGGGGGCACTCTAGAGCGCTAGAGACACTCGTCCCTCCTGAGAGAGAAAAACAGCAGTATGAGGAGGAGTTAATGGTCGAGAAGCCTTCCTATGGACCATTTGTATATATTGGACGGTTTCCTGGTTTCGGATTTTTAAACACACAGATACAGTTTACAGTATATGTACACACAACTACCTTCTTTATCCTGCAGAGGCATCAGACATCTATACATGTATATATATAAATCTATGGCTGGGTACCAAACCTAAATACTTCCTGCTTATAGACAGAAATATGCCTGTAACATTGAGTATTGAAAAACATCTTTAATACATAAATAAATGGAGCTATTTTGGCAGAATCAGTGAATTAAATACCTGGTTCATTCATATGTGGTTTCATTCAACAGAAAAATGGCCAACATGTAAATAAACATCTTGTGTCTTATTCATGATATGTTATTATGCTGATTAAAAAAGTTTAATGTCACGACTCACCTCCAAATGGTATCAAACAAACATTATGTTTGCACGCCAGTTCCACAATTTTCACTACATCATTGTGACAGTCTAAAAAAAAAAACATTATTTTGAAATTAGAATGGGAATTTTTCCATTTATCGTTCTTTATTGCATTCATAAATTACGTGTGCTCATAATAGCAGGAGTCGACACATTGTAAAGGATATAAAATATGGCACAAAATGCTACATATATACAGAAGACAATAAACAAATTTATATGGCCTGAGCCATTAGAGCAGGGGGACTAGGGGAGAGGCAGGGCACGTTTTGATTTGCCTGATGGTCGTGATTTGCCTGGGGCTTTCCTCAGGCGGAGTCAGTCTGCATGAAGCTATGCTCTCTGGGGTGAGATGTGCAGGATCAATACGAGCACGCTTCAGCCAATCACGAAGCCTGATTCCATTCACAGTGGAGTGGTGAGCGAGTGGGAGGAGTAGCAATACCCACCTACATGGATGTGCATGACTGGCCTCAAGTGCTTTTGGAAGCAGTGAGAAATGCCCGTGTTCTAATACATTTTGCCATCCAATTAAACACAGTGCTGGCTTACGGATTACAGTTCAAAAAACTAAACCTCCACTTAAAAAACACAGCTTGACTTGGAGGGACTTGTGGGGAATGCAAATTATAGGTCAAGATATCTGTTAGAAGGATCATAAATGAGAGTGCATTTGGGAGGTCAGAAAGATAAAAATTTGGTGCTGTAGCGCGTGAAACGGTCTACAGTTGCTCGGTGATTTGCTGCCCATTTGGGAGGCTGCTAATCAAGTTTCAACCATCAGTCAACACTCATTTGCATGATAAAATAGTGCCAGCCATAACAACAGAAAACCAATCTCAGAATCATAATTCATGGGTGAACTGTGCAGGGAGCAGACTGTGGAGTATTGGGTGTCAACCATCCTCCCCCCTGACACTTCTTATTAAGCTTTCACTCATACATTTTAATATCTCTTCCTCTGGTGAGATTAACCCTTTAAATCAACTCAGCCATTCAGGGGGATCAGTGATGCTATGTGGGAGGAGAGAAAAAAAGAGAAAAACAAAAAACAGATAACACAGCTTCTGAACTCACTTGGCCATACCACCGTATCTGGAACTCGACCAATTTTCCCTTCTCGAAGGGGAAAGATCTCGTGTAGGCAATGGCCTGAAAGAAAACAAAGGAATGACACATTAAGTTCATCACAAATGATTGTGAATATTGCTAAATAAAAAATTATTATTTAATAATTACACAGGTTGCCGTGTATGAACAATAAAAGGTCACAATGGGATTTTTTGGGGTTTTTGGGTGGGGGGTGAAGAACGTGCCTTACCATAAGCACGAAACACTCTATCCTCTGCATCGTGAGAGAAGGGAACACCTGTGGATTTCAGCTCTTCGACGAAGGCCTCATTAAGAGTGGGAGGCGGCACAGCACTGCTATTCAGAATGGGCTGAAACAAAACAAGCCATTGTGGTCATGAACTCTGACTGAGTGCTCTTCTTTACCGTTCACTGAGGACACAATAAATAAACGGGACATTTACTCACTGTTGCAGGGGATTTATGCTGCACACTGGCTCCAAATGTGTTTTCAAACCAATCTTGCAGACCAGGAAGGATCATTCCACTTAGCCTATACCTGGATTGTGTAAAATAAGACAGTCGGTGAGGATAATCAACTTTAAAAAAAACATGCATTAGTGATTGTCAGCAGTGAAAGTCCAAATCCTTAACTGAAGATATAGTTTATTGCTTGACTGGTCATTTTTACTTGGAAATCCAAACCTGTGTCTAATAAGAATAGAGTGTGACGGTTGAGTCCAGCGAGGTTATTAGGCAAGCAGAGCAATAGTGACAGTGCTGTCCATGTGACTGCTCTCGCCATCCCTTGCATAATTGAGCTGCTGGCACGGCCTGGGCCAGCCTATCAGAGGACTGTGGTGTGCCTTTGTCCAAGAGACCATGAAACACACCCCAGAATGAAAAAAGCCTCTGTCACATTGAGAGCAGAGGAAGAGAGTACCATCTTTGACATTCACTCAACTGTGCCCCAGCCTCAGTCATTGTACACCACCGAAGGTAGCTTTTCAGTTGGAGGGGGGAGCGGGGCAGTTTGTGGCGACTGCTTGAACAGGAGGAAGCCATTTGCTGTGCAACATCCTGTTCAGCTCCACTCATTAGTCAAAATACATCCTCATGTACCCTGTGCCATGTCTCTATGTGTACAATTTGACAGGAAAGGCACAGTCGTATGTCATGATTAAAATATCAAGACCATTTCTATTTCTGCTCTTCTCATGAGAGACGAGGATAAAGATGGAGAGAGAGAGATATTCTTTGTTACATTCAGTGAGTTTGAGGACACATGGCTTTGTTTCTGCACGCCCACAGACATTCAAACTGAATTGTTTAACTGTCAGTGAAAAACTGTGCTTACCCAAAACCAGAGACACGTCAATAATTACAAACATAATACATTTTGTTTTTGAACAGATTGGAGAGAGTTTTCTGTTAATGAGCAACAGGGTTTGGGAAAGCTGAAAATCCAGTGACCTTCTCAGATGACAATTCAAATGCCAGCCACTAGGTGGCAGTAGCACCACATTGCTGTAAGCGTAGGAAGGAGACAGCAACTGGAATTCAAAAAGCTGGCCTCACAGTATATATGGATTGTCAATTTGTTCAAAGAAGAACTACAGACTCAAATCACACACCAACCGTGAAGGCTGAAGTTTAACACGGCTGCTCTGAAACTAAATCAGAGGCTGTTATTAATTGATTTCTTTAAGTATATATGTAGACTGTGGTGTAAGAGTATACTGTACCTTTTGCCAGTAAATTCTGCTTGACCTTTCTTATTGAAGAGGAATCTTGTATCGCTATATCCCCAGCCATTCCATTTCATAATCTCCTGCCTGTGGAAAGGTAAATATTGGCACAGGTTGACTTAGGAACTCACTTACATTAAAGTTAAGACATGACATGAAATATCATGAGAGGTAGTTACAAAAACACATGTGAAGGTTATTCCTTGGGGTGATGACACGCTGAAATTCGTAATTTGCACCACAGTCCCTCTGGGCTGTTATGAGATAGTCTAAGCAATTTCCCCAGAGATAAAATAAGAGACAGTCTTTCCTGGCAATCTGATACTTCATGCTGATATTGGAACAAACTGACCAATGGCATTGAGAAAATGTCAAACATTTGTTGTTTCATTCACAAGTATTTCATTCAGCAAGGCGGGGCTGCCTATCAGTTGGCAAATTCACAGTATGAAAGGGGGGCACACCTACAATATTCCCTGTGGTGCTTACGACTAAAAAACAATCTGCAGGCAGGCTCGCATACAAACAGCTTGTTGACATAGCCATGGAGAAGCAGAAGGGACACATTCAAACAGCATATCAATCAACAGAGGAAGCTACAAACTCTCCCTGTGCCGTTTCCCATTTAACACACTCAAATATTTCACATTTATGACACCTGGCAGGCCGTCTTATCCAGAGCTGCTCTGAATACCGCTCAGTGTTTATGATCGGGTCCCAGTGTATGCCCTGGTCTTAGAAACTCCAGCTAATAATCATTTAGCACAGAAATCCACTTAAATAGCACACACGCATCAGGTCTTTGCTGTGAAAGCAATTAACACATTGGAATGCCGCCAGCAGCGACTTAAAGGTGTTCCCCCAAAATGGCTGAGCTCACTATCCAAAGACGTGGAATTTCTCACACAAATGTTACTATGCTATTAGTGGGGGATATTCCAAGATAATGACCAGCTGCACAACCAAAGATGTTGGTGCATTGTCTGTGACACTGTACAGAGCTTGCACACTGTGCTTGGACCCGAAGCAGAAAGACAGCTCGACCACCACTCAGAGCAGCCATAACTCATCATGAGTCGCTCGGGATGGGATGCTAACACAGTGGAGTAAAAGCCATAATTAAGATTAATACCTGCCAAAATGGAGTTTCCAATAAATTTAGAGAGGGAACAGAAATGAGAGTGACACACCGAGTCACACTTTAATGAATCCTCACCACCAGTGATGTGCCGTCATAGGTGTAGAACATACTGACTAAAAATGAATCAATAAATAGGCCAAGTACATGGCAAGGTCAGCGGGTAAGGACTGCAATTACCGAGGGACAATTTCAGGCTGTTCTGATTAAAAACACAACCGTTGTGCAAAATAAATCCGTCCTGATAAAATGAGTTTTTCACAATCAGCATGAATCTTGACTTTTTCACCATGAAGATTTTTTGAAGGGAGGTTTTCCTTGTCTGAATTGCAGGTCTAAGGGCAGTGGGTGTATTAAGATATACAGCTAGTGAAAACCTTTGTGATTATTTTTTCAATCAATATTAAAATCTATTGTATTTCCAACAATGTTATGTATATTTTGTAATATTTTTCTAAAGTGTAATGCCCATATTATGTGACAGTGTGCATTTAACAGTAGAACGTAAATTAATTATGCTACAGATGATCTTTGGACAGAAAGACTTGAAAAGTTGTCTATAAAGTCACTCAGTCTTAAATGTGTTATTACACTTGATAAACATTCAAAATACCTCTCAGTAAAATGGAATACAATTCAACAAAACCTCAATAGCCTCCAAATAGTCTTTTGCAACATATCTAAGAAAAAAAATGCAATATTTGTTAATATTCACAAAACGTAGGATTTATTGCAGGACTGTTGTGAGTTTAAGCAAACTGTATATAATAAACTGTTAAAATTATGTAAGTAATCCAAATGAACACAAAGTGAACACCACTTAACCAATGAATTAGTGGTGGTTGCAGTAACTGACATTATTTTAAACCAACAACTTGTCAAACTGGACCTGAAACCACATTCTAACCGTAAAGGAAAGTTGTTACAGGAAAAGAGGTTGAGTGAGGAAGTCTCTTCGTACTTTCCGAAAACATATATACAATACATTTTTTTTCTTAAAGAAAAGGTGGGTCCACCCTGCAGCCCAACTTTCGCTGAGGCATCTGAGAAAAGTAGACAACAAATACTGAAGGACAAAAACCACTGAACTATTTTATTGTCTTCCTGAATTATCCAACTGTTGCTGTCAACACAAAGTGACTTTAGTCCAGCTCAACATCTGGAAAAAAAGACAGGGCCAAGATATCACCACTGTGTTGTTGGGACCAGAAAAGAACAAGACGACTTTCACAAGGCCAACATCCCCAAACTATTGTGCTAATCTACAGTTGTTGTTTCAGACTCACACAACAGCACAGTGTTGTAGAGTCCTGGACCATTACATCACCAGAGGAGAAGTTTCGCTCCTCAGGCTGAAGTTACTAATCACACGCATCTTTAAATGATGATTTCCATAACAACATGTAAATACATGGTAATGCATCAGGTGCAATAAACCAAGAAGCTAATGCACAGCTATTGAGTGATGAAGCTAGTGACGTAACTGCTTAAACAGATGTTAGTAGGTAGCATTAGCTACTGTAATAATCTGCTACCATGACATCAGCAGTAGTAGTAGTAGTAGTAGTAGTAGTAGTAGTAGTACTAGTAGTAGTAAATGCAGTAACGATTACAGTAAAGCCTGTGCGTGACATTTACGGTAACAGATGCACGGAGCACTGACATTCCAGCAACAGTTGTTACACTTACAGATTAACGTAAGAGTAACAGCTGTACGTCACATTAACTCGTAACGGGGTATTCTGCAACGACTCGTGCGTAAAAGGTCGCCAAATTTCGATTCAGCCACTTTCTTGTCTGAAAGCAACAGAAAATGCTGGAACCAGGGCGGTGACGCTTGAGTCTTAGCATCTAAATCAGTGCTGACGCTGACAATTAACACAGGACAGATACAGTGCGGAGCTGTGAGGCACATAGAGAAGGTTGCGGCTGACATAACTTGGGGAAAGTCGACCACACCAACGTTAAACTGAGTGTAAGCTCAGCCGCACCCACTGAAATGAATGGCTGCTCTGTTAGGTTAGCTAACAGGCTAGCTGCTTTAGCCGTGTCCCCCTGGGTTGTGTGTGTGTGTGTGTATGTGTGTGTGTGTATTAAAGATGGAGGAAGCCGGTGTGTCCGTGTGTCTCTCCCCGGTGTGTTTGTCCAGCGTGTCGCCTGCAGCTGTTGGACTTAACAACGAGCTAAAGCCACAGAGAGAGGACTCCACCGCTCCATCACAGCCGCGTACCTTCTCCGGGGCACCGTCCTCCCCTCACCAGAGGCGTCTGACTCGCTCTGCGGGGCTTTGCACTCCGCGGCTCGGACGGCCGAGTCGTCGTCCGCCGGCCTCCGTAAATGCCCGGCGATGATCCTCAGTCTCTGCTGCGCGACCCGCTGCCTGTCGGAGCCGCCGCCGCCGCTGCCGTTGGACGCCATGCTGCTTCCGTGTTTGTGAATGGAGGGAGCGGATCCATGAGCGCCTGTCAGAGGTCAGCGCAGTGAAAGTGCCCCGCCTTCACAGCCCCTCGGAAATATCAGCTTCAAACGACCACAGCTGTTTCCACAGACCTGTAAACTGGATTTTCTCGTTTGCCAAATTTGGGTTTTATCGATACATCACGATACAATATTCATTCACCATGCAGTTTCTTTTATTGTGATCTAAGCCTTGTTTTGATCATTTAAATTTAACATTCTCTTATTGTTTTTACATCTTATCCTGTCTTAATATACTCTTTGCACTTTGAGCTGCTTTTTATTCTATGAAAAGTTCTATACAAAGTCTTCACCTGTAACCATTGTTGTCTAATAATAGTGATTTCACAGATAGTTAATAGGCTGTTAGGCATTAGATTAGATAAGGATTAGATCTAAAATTGTGGGTTGATTAAATCTCACCATGAATAGTGCCAAACATTTCCTGATTTTATCTTGTGAAATGTGTGGTCAGGACAAATATAATATTGTTGCTGTGTATTTTAACATGTTCATATCTGTCTGTCCCGAATGATTAAATATGATGATGTAACATTTTCGTTTAATTCTAAAAAAAAAAAGATCTATTAACATAAAAAGCAAAAGTGACAAAGAAAAACCGAGGGGCTCCTGAATGCATCAGTTTACCTGTTTCCCAGGATGCTTTGCGGCATGCGGCTGGGTCACAGACTTTATGAAGAGGGCTGGTTGCATATTTTTCATTGAGTCAGGAATTTAAAGCCAGTTTGTAGAGTTGTAAAGTGGAGACAGCAGAAATTCAGCTCTTCTAGTGTAAAAACTTGAGGGAAGCCGGTCCTGTGCACAGAATATAGTTAAACAGAAAAAAAGTACATTACCAATTTAGTTTTTTTCAATTTAAAGTGTGTCCACCCTGTGTATTTAAGTATTATATTGTAGACTTAGGTAATGAGCTTAACCTGAGGTGGTAACAGATCTATTGTTTAAAGACCAATCCCTTTTTTGCTGCCACATTTTTAGTCATAATTTATCTGACTCACTTAATAAAGCAACATCATCAAAGTGTCATGATTCATCATGTGTTATTTTTAATTAAGAATATATTAATAAAGAGAATCGGGAGTAAACTGAATCAATGTGACTTTGCTGTTTACCTTTCTGCCTCACCTCCATGCAGTCACCTGACCCGCATGTCTACTGCTTCCATATGGTACACAGCAATGCTCTTAAAGTGAGAGATTTCACTCAGTTACAGTGCACAAAGGATGAGAAACAGAGTGGCTAAACTGTAGAATACAAATAAACTGTGGTCACATTATCAGAAAAAAAGACAAGAGACTGTGATAAAATGCTTAAAACAGGGAGGAAACTTTATTTGAAAATTAAAAAAAAGTCATTTGCAAATTAAATTCATTAACAATCTAAACGTCCGGATGTTTGACGGATCTTATTTCCCACTGGTTCAAAGCATTAACTCCCAAAACAAAGTTCTGTAATGCACTGACTGCAGGCAGCTAGAGTCTGAGTGTATCACAGAACTTTATTTGGAAAGCCACAGTGCCACCTCATAGGTTTGTCCTTGTGTCGAGACACTTATCCTCCTCATGACCGGGTGCTCCTTTAACCTGCAGTAAGCAAGGGGAAACAGGACATCCATTTTGTATTATCTTCTTTCTATACTTCACTTTAACACAATATGTACTGCACAATTACGCAACAAGACATTTCCCATATAGAATGAGACCGGTTAGAGCAGATTGCTAAATGTAGCAGAGACTTGAATGCTTGTGAGTGGGCCTACAGGGAGGCTCGCTGTAGAGCAGGTAAAGCAGACCATATGGAGACTTTTTACACATGTGTCAACTCACTACAGCAAAGATCCAAAGGCTGGATACCATTTGTGATTGTTCAATAAGTGGAAAAACATCCTAAAATATATCCACTTACCTCAGTAAGCATGAGCATCTGGATGTTTGTAAAGTTAACACATTAATCAATATCTACTCGAGGTGACATGAGGGACGTTTCCAGTTTTGGATGATCCTACTTTAAAGAGGTTTTATTTCACTTTTCTACCAGCGTGTCATCCATTCTACCTGTTGAGCTTTAGTCAACTTTGTGAATTGAACGGGCCCTGCATGGAGGCTGAGTGAGCTCAGCACGAAACAATGCAGATGGATATGATCGCAATGTGGAAAAGTGCTGAGGGCCAGATGAGCTCCTCACTTCTGTCACCTTTAAATCCAGCTGCACTTGAACAGCAGTCAACTTTGTGAGAGACGCACAAGGGAATAAAATAACACCCAATTACGAACATGAGGGTCACAGTGATCGTGCAGCAGAGGTGATATGAAGCAGGAAAAGTAAGTCATACTGTACCTGGTGGAGGTATGGACGCGTAAGGGGGAGCAGCTGCAAGCCAACACGAGGGGGGCAAATAGTCTGGATGATTACAAAAAATGCAAAAAGCAGAGGAGCTTGATCTGCTGCTGATCCACCATGGCTGGGCTCATGGTGCAAACCGCCCGGATCGTGTCGGTGGTGCGGGACTTGCAGCGCTGCTCTGGTCGGTGAGGTGGTTTCACTGCTGCCGCCGCCGCTTCCACCTTTTTTCTCCTTCTTCTCCTTCTTCTTCCCCCCCTCGCTCCTGTGCAGTTCACTATATGCAGCTGGAAGAATGTCGACGTGGAGCTGCCAAACGTGAACGCGTGATCGTGAGCGCGCACGGGGGAGAGGAGGGGAGGGTGGGAGGGAGGAATGGGGGGAGGTAGAGAGAGTCGAGGCTTTTTTGGTGTAATTTCACGCAGTGGCACAGTCGAGCTGCACTTCAGTGTGAGACTCTCCACACATACGTGTTATGACAGACTCAGCCTCTCGGAACACACTTTAAACTGCAGCTGGGTCTGACGCATGAGGTGTCACAGTGGACCAGGTTCAATCCACTTACGGAGATTCTCTCAAATAAGAGTAGCCTGATCTGTGAAGGACTAAAAGTGAGGTAATTTAAAGTTTACAGCTGATGTGTCTGACCTGTCCACATGTAGTCAACGTATTAGGATCCTTCCCTCCAGCAAAAGCAACAATACCACAGTAGAGATGTTGCAAGAAGAGGCCCCTGCATTCAAAGAACTGAAGCGTAATCAACAAAATGTGCTAAAAGTAGAGATAATCATTCAGGAGAATACTTCATTTAAATGTTAGTCTATTGTATAGGCCAACTATAGCACTTAAATAAATACAGTTTATTATTATCACTTTATATGATATAACTAAATTGTTAAATTGTTTCCTGATACATTTGTGTTCGTAAAGCTTCAACTTCAATCTTAATCCCCTGCAGTAACTTAACTAATGTAGTCTATTGAGTTTCCTTCTGAAATGTCAAGGAAAGTAGCTCAATCATGTGTATAACATAAACTATCAAAATATACAGCTATGAAAGATGGTGCTTGATAGAATTGACACATCTTATTCTTAATTGCAGTTTCAAGGTAGTTTAAATACTTATCTTGAGTATTTCCGAGGGGGGACTTCACTTTTAAACTACTTTGTGGGATTTCTGTCATCCCTGTCACTACTTTCTGGGAAAACTGTACTTTTTACTTTTATTTCACAGGTGCCCTTATTTTGTTATTGCCCATGTTAAGATGTTATATATAAAACAATATACATATGATCATCAAATATGAAAATAACATGCTGCATTATGGTACAATAAACCAAGGAGCAGTTAAAATGAGCTCCATCTCTATTAACTAAACATTGAAGTGCTCTTACAAGTATGATTATAATAATAGAGGGTCATTACTTGTGCAACAGATACTTAAAAAATATACTTTGAGTAAACTCTGACATGCAGAACCTTTGCCTGTAATCAAGTATTGTATTGCAATTGAGTATCTTCACACTGTGGTACTTGTACTTCACATACTTCTTCCTCCCCTCACTGAAGTCCATTGAGTCCCAGCAGCAGTGAGTGAATTGTGGCTTTTCCACGGGGCATTAGGGCCCCAGGGGCCTCCAGCTCCACACTGGCCGTGGTCACCAGCAGGGGGCGCTATGCACCAAACGAAACCCTTAAGATGACGGCGTTGAAATCTAAAAGGAAACGTAGTTTTTACTTTTATAATTATACCTGAGCCGAATCAGAGACAGACTTCAAACTGCTTCTTATATAAAATGCAGCCAAAAATGTTTTCACGTAGAGTAACAACCACAACTTCTTTGTTTTGTCATTTCACTTTATTTATAATCACCATCATGATCAAGGGTAATTGTACACACAAGTATATAAAATCATATAAACATGTTATGTTTTTATTTTGTAAAAACCCTGTTTCCTGGTTGCTGCGTGCGCTCGGCCCAGCGGGCTCCACAACCCATGCACACACCGCCCTCATCTCCAGCCTCATAGGCCGGAGAGAGGGGGACGATCCCGGCTCCGCAGCTCGGTGGGCAGGGCCTCCGCTTCCGTGATGTTCATTAGATTAAGAGGAAGCAATATTTCCCTCAAGTCAGCTGCTGCGACGGACTCTGTACACAGCCCCGGGACCGCTCGCCATTTTTAATCTAGCGCTCGGGGAATAACACACACACGTTTACCGGCCAGAAGGCGTCTCTTCGCGGCGGGACAGATCTCCATGATGCTGGAAACGGAGGTGATGCATCCCAGTCAACAGGTAAACGCACTGTTTCTCCCCAGAGGTCATGAGAAGTGGCTCACATGGACCTGCTGACTGTTTTAGAATGTGATCTGATAGGGAGACAGCTCAGTAAGTTTTATTCTTAAATCGTCAAGTGTAAAGGGACAGCCTGGTTATAGCACAGATCAGACATTAGAATATAAGAGTAACAGCTCTGATATAGAAAACACCACAACAACACCTTGTATTACAGGGTTTATATGAAGATATATTAAGTTTGTCCTCTTTCTTTTCTGATAGTCATCAACTTGTGACGTTGTCCCTCAGTAACTAAAAGTACTGTTTGAATACAAAAACAACAAATGACATTATTTCTTTCATTCTGACAAGTTTGGTAAACACTGAAGAACCTCTCTGGATTCTTCTCGTAAATGCCCCCCCCCCCTCTCCTTCCCCTCCTTCCTCCTCCCAGCATGTGACCCTGTGTCTAATACACACAAGCCAGTGCATTGTGAATGATTTCTTGTAAAGGCCGCACTGTTTCC